TGAGACGATAGAAGAAATTCAGGCAGAATCGCAGATGGTGCTTGACAGGCTGACAAAGAAAGATTTCCAGGGATGCTTCCAGGCTTGGCAGCGGCGCTGGGATCGTTTTGTTCACTCCCAGGGAAACTACTTCGAGGGTGATGGATGAATTTAATACCTGAGATAAGTGTACGGGTTTTTATACGCGCAGTCTGGAAACCTTTCTATCGCCCCTCGTAGATAGAGCGCTCACTTCTTTTGTCCGGTATTGATCCGACGTTAAGATTGCAACTGTAAAACCCGATTCGTAATTAGTAGGCCAGTAGTAAACAAAATGCCAAAAATTAATTACTGTGAGTCTTTAATTGCTTGGGCTATGATCGCGGGACAGGAGAGTGTATTTGCTGATCAAATGTGCCTGGAAATTAACATACTGTACCATTATTGGTGTGTTTTGATCAACGAATACTTTCATTATTTGGAAATTTTTAAGTTCACAGTTTAAATTGTGACGAGCGCTCATATATTTGCCCCATTTGTGGAAGGGAATGTGGAACAGTGGGGCAATCATATGAAAGTAAATTTTCTACCGAAGTGATAGTCGTGGTGGAATTCATTATTGCTTACTTTTCAGTGCGTGTTTATTGCGACAGTTAGGTTTCTTGTGTTTCTCTGTTTATCTTTCAGATTCACCTAGCTGCTTTTTGTAAGAACATAACAAGATTTATGATTATTTCCTAATTGCCATCTTCTTTCTCTGAGGAAATGGGACAATACTTTCAGGAGAAAATCGTTTGTTCTGCTGTACTCTTTCGATCGAGACACGGTTGTAGCTTCAAGCTGATCTGCTGCATTGGTTAAAATAACTTATTATTTTGCCCCGTTGTCTTGTGTAAACTATTGCACACACAGTGAACATTTTCTGTTCTATAAGATTTGCTGTTATCTACAGCAACTTTTCATAACAACTACGGCAAAGAAATACACTTAAAGATCACGGTTTCACAGTGTTGTAATAGATTAAGCTGCATACTAGATATTTTAAACACTTTTATATCATATTTTTAAAATGGTAAAATACTTAAAATTACATCTCACGCTATTTATCAAGTTTCCCTTTCATGAATGCTATTGAAAATATTGTTTGGTAATTGCCAGTCAAATTGTCGCTCCGATCAGTACAAAGTCTGTGAACTGCCATACAGAAATTTTTAATGCGTACTTTTACCGCACTTTGCTGTATGTAGTATAATCGTTTCGCATTTATTATAACGTTCATCTTAGACATGAGAGAAGGAAAGTAGCAGAAAGCTGAAGAGAAAGGCTTGTATAGGCCTAGAACTTATGGGTCTGTTAGTTTAGGTCAGATACGAATTCGGCGATCCGCACCACGAAAACAGCACGCCGTGTTATGTCTCCATAGTAAAAAACCTTTAGCTTTTGTGAGGGCCACAACTTTTGTCCGAAACATTAACTATTGTTCTAGTCAATACTGAAGCAAATTAAGTGAAATATGTAAGCCTATTCAGTTCCTCCTATAGTTCTAAACCGGAAATCTATGGCCCGTAGGTCTAGACCTAACAATATCAAAAGTTGAAAATTGCTGTCTTCAGGGTGGTTGCGCCATATAATCTGGTAAAAGTTTACCGACGTTTCAGAGGTCCTTGCTGCCCTGATGATTTATTTATTTATTATTAACTGCAAATGGGTTTATACCCGATGGCAGTGGTGCTACAATAAGACATAAGAAAACAATGAGACACAACAAAACAACACACATCACACAAAATAACACACCACACTCAAAATAAAACAACTCATAAGATTACAAAACCATAAGGCAGAAGTATTTAAACACAACAGAAAACCGTCATGAACCGATGCACTCACATTTCATCAGGACCTTCTCTTCACTTCACTACACTTATGAAGCCTTCCCATCCTCACCCCGATTTACCTCCCTTCACCTCACTTCACTGCACCCACCCATGTACTCCCTTCACTTCACCTCATTTATCACTTTCCTAACCTTCTTCCTAAAAGTACTTGGTTTACAGGAGAGAGTCCTTAAAACATCCGCAGGTAACTGGTTCCAGAGTTGGATGGTCCTATTTACAAAGGAATATTTTCCGATGTCTGTCCTTTGCCCTCTGCTCCTAATTTTCCGAATATAATCGACTGGAACTGATGATGTAGGCAGCAAGGACCTCTGAAACGTGGGTAAATTTCTTCCAGACTACACGGCGCAACAACCCAGAAGATAACCAGCTTCTTACTGGTCGCCGTCAGAACCTGAAATATCACTCATTAAAATTTGCTCAACCTGCGTGGTTTTAGGCCTTGGACCTATAGCCTATGTGTTTTTGCGGGAGAAAGTAAAACTTTTGCACATATTGCGACTAATTTGCAAACAGTTTATTATTACTCGAAGCTGACTTCATGGAGCAAATCATGCCTAAAGACGTAACTTGGCCTACGTCCGTCTAGGTTAGTTAGCACAGACAAAATTTGTCATCTTCGCCCACGGACAAAATGAACGAAGCGTGAAGCTGACCACCCACCTCTATCTAGTGCCGAGGTTAAGAATGCGTGGAGCTTCACCTCCTCTCTCCATTACGCCTTACACTGCGGGCTTATACACAGGAATAACTTTGACTTTACTCCCCACGCCGTAAACACTTAGTATTGAATTTTTTATCAATTTAAGATTACCTGATAGGCCCCTAGTTTATCGTTATGACCACAGTCTTCCCCAGAGATCGGTTGTCTCACTCGACAATCCACGAAGTGGATGAGTCGAAGTTAATTAATTAACACACCCCTTGCTTATTCATTTTATGGGTAGGTGAAAAGAATGGGTGGAATATATTAACACAGAGCATGAAGACACATGTCCGGTAAGCAATCATAGTCAATGGAATCCGTAATTACTTTGATGCAAAACCGAAGCGCCCTGAGTAATCAAGTTACAATCTTCTCGTTAATAATTCAACCCCCTTCACTGTTGTGGTTGTGTTGGCAGTGAGTTTATGCACTTAAAATGCGGGAAAGAATTTAAAAATTTACGACTCACTGACACGAAAGTGAATCAGTAATGATGCAGTCTTTAGTTATCATTTCGTTATCAGGAGTATGTCTGCTCTCGTTTGTTTCTGGGCTTATTTATTCTGTATGCGAATAAACATATTCCATATTTTAAAATCGGAAGTTAGTTTCTCCTTTCAATCTGTGACAGAACATTTAGAACATTTAGTGACCAGGTATGTTTTTGTCATTTGAATTTCTTCATGCATTGACTGAAAACAATTTGAAGCAACTTTCTATAGTAAAAGTAGCTAAGTAATTTTCCTAAATTTTTTTATCACATGCTCTGGATCCAAAATTTGACTATTTCAGCCAAATGTTTAGTTTCGGGAACATCAGTCACACGGGATCCAGCACTGTTTTTTACATTCTGGCAAATAGATTACTACGTTTCACTGTCGTAACTTGCTATTCTGTATTGCTGTAGTTTACAGAAAGATGTGCTCCATAAAAGAATATTAGGCTCGCGTGTTTCAGAAAAGTGCTCATGAAATTCCGATCGGAACACCTGAATAAAATCACAAACTGAAAGTTCTAGACATAGGTACATGGGAGGATCGTATTCAAACGCGTCTTTCAAAACTATTGTGTGCCGTGTGTTGGATTCAAATGCCTTCGGATAAGATCCAATGTGCTTGTGTGAGCACGAATATGAACATTCGGGTTCCGTACAAGGTGTGAAATTTCTTATATAGCTGAGCTTGTTGTGTCATCATGTAAAGAACAACTCTTATCCACTGAATTGGTGCGTAAATAAATAAGTGCATCGCAATGTACATTCATTACTACAACGGTTTCAGTAAAGCCCTGGAAGATCAAGACCAGGCACGTCATTTTATGTCAGTCGCGGCTTACTACGTTTCTCTTATCTACAGCTGATAGAATGAAGATCCTCCCCAGTGGTCAATTTCAAAGCAGTGGTACGAAGCCTGCTTCAATTAAACACGTAATGATGGTTGAAAAGCCACCTTTCCCCAGCAAGGGTCGCCAACTATCCTAGGATGTGGGGTAAGTTGAAGCAAATGCACAGTTCCATTAAACACTGTTTTGCTGACAAAGTAAAATCAATAAGTTTTCCTACAGACAGACTATGTTACTGTTAGCTCAGTAAGTGAACTTGTTGTAATTAGAGATCAGTCTGATATTTTCAATATCTTTACTGCATTTGGTAAAATTCCTTAGCATCGACACTCGGCCTATTTCCCCTTACACTAAAATTACCAAATAGGCGTACATTATTTCTGAAAACGTAGATTTAGTGGTGAATGACTTAAGCCCATAGTACAAAAGGCCTTCAGTTACTTAACTGATAAAGAAATCATCAAATTTTGGAACCCGTCACAAAAGCTCAACATTATAGCTTATCTAAAGCCACTTTGATCATATCCATACTTTTCCCCTCATCTTCTGAGATTCATTTTAATATTATCCATCCAATTACGGTTATGTCTCAAATAATATCTTCCCTTAAAATTCAGCGACCAAATGTCTGTTTCATTCGCCATTTGGTAAAGAAAGAAGAAGAAATTATTAAAACATCTATTCACGAAATTACTGTTCACACAGACCTCATAATGAGGTATGCTTAGCACACCGCCCTGTTTATTTAAACAATTTAAATTTCGCAGAAAACAAAATTACCTTAACTTTAAACTGTATGTAACGCGTTATCATACACAACGGGACTGACAGCTTTTTTTTTAGCAATTACCTTCCGCTCATCAGTGTTACATAAGACGTAATTACAAGGTGTCGTCTTGAACAACAGACATTAATCAATGTGACACTCGGCCGTCTGCGCAGAGGGCCCACTCAATGAGGTCCGGGGGATGGACTCATTCATCTGTAGTTAAAGCAAGACTCGGCCTGCCGATTGGTTACCATCTTCAGTCACGTGACTAGACAAGGGGTGGGGAGTGTTCAGAGACCGCCCATCGGACTTGGCCGTGGATGTTCTGCCTGCCCTCAACTGACTGCCCGATTCGACCCCATCACGTACGGGTTCTCACGTGTTCAACGATGCGCTTACAGATTGTGTAGTGGTGTGGACACATCTCATAGGAAAACTATTTGAAGGTATGTGGTAATTCCTAAGTACCCTTTTCTGAGACATCTTTAGCAATGCCCGGAATATCTTTCTTACCTCCCAGGATGAAGTAAGAAACTTAAATTTTATTCATGATGTTTTTTCTGGGGTTTGGCGACTTCTATAGTAGTCGGTAGATGCCAACATTTCGGAGAAACATACAATCTCCATCTCCAGTCCTGAAGATGGCGACAAAACTTTTTTCCGAAACGTTTGCATCTACTGACGAGTCCGGAAGACGCCAAACCCAGAACGTTTGCATCCTCACCGCCGTAATAACCTCAAATCCCACTAAATATTCTTATTAGATAATGGTTATTTGGAAGACCACGACAGAGAAGGAAAATTCGAGTGTTCTTGTGGATTGGGTTGTACTGGCTCAGAATAAGGACCATAGATGATCCTCATAAAAGTGGATCCCAATATTTTGATCCGAACGTTATGGCTGAGTGGTTTGCACTCCTGCTTTGCATTCGGGAATGTCCGTGGTTTCAGTTTCAGTCCATGGACCAACTATCCTGACAGGGTTCTTGTAGTTTATCTCAGTCCTTTCAGGTGAATGGTAGGATAGCAGCTTGCCCTAAATTACGTCATGGAAACTCCCTTCTATATGTCTAGCCCTTCAGATTAAAAATTAATTAATCATATTATAATTCGCCGCCATACACCTGTCGTGTAAGCTACTGACAGCGTCGTCTAACAAACAACAAATAAGGTCATCATCCAGATTGTAACTTACTGTCACACATCATTAAATTGTTTAGTTTGTTACGCTGTGCGTTTCAGAGGTTCTTTTTGCCTCCATCATCAGGACGATCGCCCTGAAAACCTCAAATCCTCCTTAGCGATTATTGCATTTAAACATTGTCGTGTTGGTCGTGTTTGAGGTTCTTAAGGTGGCGAGTCTGAAGATGGCTCTCTTGTGGGTTATTGAGCTGTGTAGTCTGGTAGAAGTTTACCAGGCCTGCAGGTGCAAATAGCCGAGAACATCAAAATTTGGTTTCAGAACCTCATTTTTGGTAAAACTCTTTTACTATACCGCTGGTTTGCTCAAGAAAATGTAATTTCTATCCTATTTGAAATAGGCATTCTATTCGTTTAAAATATAATTTCTACAAACATATTTTAATGTAGACCTTGGACGCCAAGATATCTAAATCTGTCCGATAAATTTAGGAAGTAAAACATAGCCAACGTTCAGGGGAACAGAGAATATTTCTTTGCTATTCTTTCACTCTGTGCAGATCCTAAGTAACGAATAAAATTAACCTAGACCTCGAAAACGAAGAGTAATAGGTCAAAGTTAAAATATTTAGGACGGCAACAAATCAAAATTGTATTCTTGAAGAGAAACAGTTTCTAATTCTTAAAGGAGGTTATACAGTACATGAAGTCAGAAATTGACTTTAATAAGCAATAACACAAAACTATAATTTTACCTGTTTTGTACGGGGCGTGAACACTTGTTTCCCACGTTAAGGGAACAACACAAACTGAGGGTTTTTCAGAACAGGGTGCTTGGGGGAGAAGAATGTAAGTTTCTGGACTGGATTAATCTAGCTCAGGTGAGGGGCCAGTGCCCGGCTCTTTTTAATATTATAACTAAATTTATGGTGCGATAAAAGACGAGAACTTCCTCTCATGTTCCTAATAGCTTCCGAGAAAGACCTCATCTCTGCGTAGTTACTTGATAGGCCTAACAAATCCTGTGATATGTTGGCCTAATTAACAGCAGAATAACGACAGGTGAAACGGAATTTCATTGACAATTTATTTATTATTTTCTTGAGAGTGTAATTTGTCAACCAAAGGTCTATTTATCATATAGGGCTAAATGTTTGACAACTAATTAAATGTAAAGTAACTTTAATTTTGTTACATTAGGACTGTAAGGCTAAAATTTGCTAAGATTAAAAATATAACCCCATAAAAAATTACCTATTATTTTATAAACAAGACGTTATCCGACCTTCACTTTGAGACCAGCCAATATCCGGATTGAGGAAGAAGCTTAGAACTGGTTTTACGATAACATGCTGCTTGGTCAGACCTATCTGACATGAAATGAGACATTGACTGATGAATCCGGAGTAACTGTGAAATGATAATTATCAGGAGAAAACATAATAATTCGTAGAAAATCCTGCTCCAATGCCATTTTTCCACCACGAATCTGACTTCAAATTACTCGCGATATGAACCCGGTTTTCTGCTGTTAGAATCAGATGTCAAGAGATGTTTTTTATAATGGACGTAAATAGGAATGGAGGGTGTGGATTTGATTCATCTGGCTTATGATAGGAACCTGTGTTAGGCTCTTGCGAACACGTAAATGAACGAAATGCAAGTCTTTTCAGTTATGACAGACGATTAATAAGTTCGTGATTCAAAGTGGGTACCTTTAATTTTGCGTTGCCGTTAACAATACAAAGAGCTCCAAGCAGCCTTAAATGTTAAAGGCAAATCTTTATTAGGATTGCAGTATACAAACTTAGTAAAGATGTAGCCTAAATTATATTTCTTTGGAGACTAAACGTCTAGTTGGTACGAGGTCGAATGTTATCCAATAATATGGCATGTCTTGGTTTAAAATACAATAAAACAAATAACTAATTTGCAATGGTAGGTTTAGACGAGCGCCACTTCATACCGATTGTTTCATGCTCGTAGTGTAAGTAATTACTTCGCTGATACTTCGCCAACACAAGGAATAAATACATTTA